GATCAGCACCATGCCCAGAAACGAGTTACCCGTTCCCCGCACCACTCTTCCCTTTCGCCTGCCAGGTCAACATGGCGCTGCAATCTGACGAGCAGGTCGCGCGCATGTATTGCGCAGCACACCCCTAACCGATCCACGCGCGCCTCTGCAGCGAGGTGGCGCAGCACCTGAGAGTGCGGCCAGACGAGGCCTTTCCTTGGGCAGGGAGGCCCTGGGGCGCGCCGTGACCTAAGTCAGGGAGGACGACCTGCAGTTGGTCAGCGCACACGAGCAGCTTTCGATGCAAACGAAAGACAAGTTCTGCGCATTTTCAAAATCTGCCGGCACACAAACCTGCAGGGTAGCTTGCAACAAGGAAAACTGGGAGGTACACCCTGAAGTGGCAATTATTTTTCACCCAGTGTCCCTGCATAGCTGTATTTTTCCTGAGGAACTGCCTCGGCCCTCACGAACATTTATGCCTTGATTAATCAATTCGTGTATCCCTGCACTGGGTGCTTATGTGTTGTTGGCTGCCAATGAGCTGGCCTTGCATGCATCCCATGCCAGCCTTTTACATCTTTGCTCTGCGCAAACCTCAATTCACACCCTGTCGAGGAGCACACAGTGTTCCAATGCCATCCTCACGCACTTGAGCTTTCCCTGTTTGACGTAACCACAAAACTGAACATGGTCCTCGTCGCATGCGCCCTGGCACCACTGCCTGTCAAGCCACAAATATCTTGCATAGAGGTTCACTGGCATGGCTTACCAGGATGGACGCGTCACGTCTTCCACTGCCCAGCGCGACACAAGGCAATTGTCAGAAAGCGCTGACCCCTCCCTCCCACACTGCAGCATTTCAGAGGTGTTTCACCTATACAGTGGATTTTTGGCCTGCGATACTGCAACCTCGTGCTTGCATGGTCCCAAAACAATTCCCTGCCGACAGATTGGCACACGAGTGTGCAAGCAGCACGAATGCTGTGGCACCGGCTCAAAGCATGGGCTGGCCAACAGCAGCACCGCTCCCATCCTCTCCATGTGCCTGCAGCCGATCCTGTGGCTTGAAGGTTCACTCAGAGGGGATGGAGGCTGACAGAGGTCAATGTACTGATTGAATTGATGCTAACACCACGCCAACAGCGGTGCTGTGCAGTTATGGGCGCAGCGGCCCACGCAGCCGCGGCCGATACAGTATGAGAGAGCCCCCAGCCAGTGGTCTCACTACAGCCTGATCGGGCTTTTTTTCATGTCACCGGCCAAGGTTACGTCAAAGAACTGGCAGCTTCAGTTGCAGCATGTCGACGCTGCAACACAGACGATGACAGCAGACAACAGCAGACGACAGTGCAGCAGACTGCAGGACGACGGCGCGATGTCACTCACACTGGTCACAAAGCGGCCCCCATCTTCAGTACTGCGAATAGTTAAGATATTCCCCAATGCATACAAGAATCTGTTATCTAGTCATCTTCGCATGCTTTGTTTGAAGGGAGGCAAAGCACTGGGATCAGGCTGCTCAAGATCGCAGTGAGGGCATCGTCGGAATAGCGGACACATCAGTAAAATAACATCGAATTGAATCCGGAAACGATGGGTGCAGTGTATCGTAGCCTCGAGCCGGTGGAGATCTCGGATGAAGACGCGCCACTGCCTCTGGGCCCATCTGAGCTGCTGCACGGGCGCCTTGATAATGGAATGACGTGAGAATTACAAGTTTGGTACCCGCTGTGGGATCTCACGCTTGCCAAGCCCGGCCGTCGCGCCTCCAGTGCGCGCAGCTGCTGCTGCATGGGCTCCACTGCGCCCGCCCCAGGAATGCTGCAGGCTACGCACGCTGCTCCGCGCTCCATGATTGTTGCATGATTGTGGTTCCATAAACCGGTTGCCCCTGCGCCCGCAGATATTACGTTCGGCCGTGCAAGAAGCCGGCGCAGCGTGCCGCGATTGCGCTCGCTGTCAAGGCGCGTGCCCTTGCGCGATCAAGCGGTCGCGCAGCCGCCCGCCTTACCCGAAACAATGCAGTCTAGGAGCAGCACGCGACCGACGGGGTCTTACGCGAAGCTCGCGGCGGCCAGCCGAGGCTCGCAACTGATGTTTCCTGCAGAGGAGGACCACCCTTGATGGCCGCACGCCCCTGGCACCACTCGCCCTGATTTTGGAGACCTCTCGGCGCCGCAGGTCGGCTCCGCGCAGGAGGAGGACCACGAGAGGGGCGTGGCTCACATCCTGGAGCACCTGGCGTTCAACGCGACAGAGGTGGGCGGCCGGTCAAACATGTCGGAGCCCGCTGCTGGGGGTCTGCAGAGGGCCGTCGCGTCACCGGCAGACGCGAAGCCCCTGGTCGGCCGAACGTCAGTATTTTGGCGTTGATGAACCCGGCACCCACACGCGAATACACATGGAAACGGAGTATTGAGCTGCACTTGCCGACTAAGACGAGCCGGGTCCGCGCCCTGCCAGTCATGGGCAATCTGCTCCCTGCTGAGCACTCCCCAGGGGTGGCCGATCGCCGCCGCCGCCACGCCCCCGCTCCTCCGGCCTCGAAGCCCGTCCCTCGCCCCCACCCCGGTTCGACAGAACTATTCAAACCACCAGATCGTGTCATTCCTTGAGGCCATTGGCGCCTCTTTCGGGGCCTGCCAGGTGGGCCGCGCACGACGCGCGTTGTGGAGCGCAACATCAAGGTTTCTTCCGCTCCCGACCATGCCCACCCGCACCTCTCATGGACCCAAAGTTTTGGCTCCGGCCGTTGCAAGATGGGCGTTCGAAAGCACACGATTCTGCAGCCGCTGGGGGTGGGCAGGAGGTCCTGGCCCATTTGTGCTCAAAGGTCAACAAGACACACCGCCTTTGACCGATTCACCCTCGCGCTTGCTACCCCGCTTTCACCAACCAGAACGCCTACACCAGCTCTGACGAGACGGTTTACCAGGTGACACGAGGCTCTCAGGGGGGGCCCGCGGGAGGGGCAATGGGTTGAGGGGACAAGTGGGGTGCGGGGCAAGGGTGCACACAAACAAGCAGGGTTGGGGGGCGACACGGCCTGGTAAGGGGCGGCACACGCGCGCGCGTGCACACACACACACACATACACAATCTCTCTCTCTCTCTCTCTCTCTCTCTCTCTCTCTCTCTCTCTCTCTCTCTCTCTCGCGCGCGCGCGCACAAACACGCACTCATACATGCGCGCACGCACGCACACGCGCGCCCGCGCGTGCGCGCGCGCGCGCATACACACACACACACACACACACACACACCGCCCAACCAACCAACCCCCAGCTGACTGTTCCCACCGAGGAGTGGCGCCTGCTGGATCAGGCCATTGGGGTCCTGGCGGAGTGGGCGGCGCGCATCAGGTGGGTCGTGGTTGGTCAATCAGCATGCTCTGCATCCTGATGTCCATGTTTGTCGATACAGGCGACATTCCCACCCAGCCCGACCACACCCGCAACAAACCGCCGCTCGAGTGACAGCTCTTGCGTTGAGCGCCCTTGACATGCGGACACACCCACCATCCCCTCCCAGCCCAAACATCACACACGCTCGCGACCGACGTGGCCCGGCCCCTCACACGATCAGCCAGGTGTGCTGACCAACACGCCCTACTCTCCGTCCCCCCCCCAAAGCATCTATGTATGCCCACAAACACCATGCGCCCCCCTTTTTTTACGAGTTACTCCCAGACAAACCCCTGCCTTCCTCCCCTAAATCCCCCCCCCCCTCACCCCAGGTGCGCCCCCGGTGACCTGTCTAAGGAGCGCGGCCCCGTGCTGGAGGAGTGGCGCGCCAGCCGCACCAGCGGCGGCCGCATGCAGGAGGCGCACTGGCAGCTGATACTGGAGGGCAGCAAGTGAGCGCCGCGCGCGCGGCTGCCGGGCCGCAGGGGCTGCGGGGCTGTGGAGCTGCGAGGCTGCGGGCTGGGTTCATCCTGTTGGGGGTGGAGGGTTGCGGTTGTGGGGTCGGCGGCGTTGGGGTGGGGTCATGCTGTGGCCGCAGGCGGGCTGTGAAGGGATTGGCTTAGCAGTGGTGCCGGCCAAGAATGCCCTTGGGTGAACTCAGAGTCCGATCGCCCCGGCGCGCGCAGCGCTGCATCCTTGCCTCTGCCCCACCTCTTTGGCCTGGTCCAAGCCGTCGCTCCTGCCAAACCCCCGCCGCAGCCCCGCGCCTGCACCCCCGCGCCCGCTTTGAAAGCAGTCCAAACCACTGGCCCCGCCACCTTCCCTCGCCGGACTGGCTTGCAAAGTGGCTCCCAACTCACCCCAACCTCCAACCCATCACCCAACTCACCTGCTCTCCTCCCCACATCGCATATTGCCCTCCCCACCCC